GAGGGGGGGGAGAAAGAGAGAGGGGAGGGGAAAGAGCAGAGATATTCTTGTTCAATTTTTTTAATATAAGCAATATTTATTAATTTGATTTACCATTTCCTGAGTAAGCGTCGCTGCTTCTTGGGTGGAGGAAATTGTAGATGGTATATTGACGACGCATCGATGTGATGATCCATTGGTCTTATAATCATGTTTGCTAGCTATTTTACATGAACAACAGTCATCGCTTATATAAATAGCATCTATTATCTCTTGACAGTTGATTGTAAAATATAGAAGCAACAGGAATTCCTTTCAGAAATAAAATCTATTTTTTTTTACTCACTAACGTATCTCGACACTTGACTTGTACTACCACACCTTCGTTGAGACTCGTCTTGACGTGTTTGAGGCGCGATCCTACCGGAAGATTTTTGTTGTATAAACAATAGCTTTGGTTGTAATCCGCTCTCACTCATATCAGTGGACTGGATTTTTGAAAAGACTTTTTCTCGTCCTTTCGTGCGATTAATATTATTTTCTTTGGAAAGAATATAATCAAGTATACTTCCAGGATTAGAGGAATCATCGCTATTTTTATCCTTTTCGGCAGGTAAAGGAATTATATAGATCTTTTTCAATATATTCTCAAGCTGTTTCGATGAGATACCGTGACTATAATTATCACTGCTTCCTCTATCGAATTGCCTTGGATTCTCTGAAGAATTCTTCAGATGAAGTGCGACGCCACAGAGTACACAAACTGAGGAGGATGTGCTCGCGATTAATCCAGATTCAGGATTATGCGGCTAACAGAAGTTACTCACAATTAGTGCTATTTTATTTTCAATTCCCTCTAATTATTTTTTATCGCAAATGTGATAAATTCAAAAATACAAATTTTATTACTTGAGTACTCCTCTCATATTGTCCTGAATATCGTATTCGAGGATCTACGCCTTCCCTCCATTGCTCCTCTATCGTAATTAATTGTATCAATTTTAACGCAGCTTCTTTAATCGCTTGCAATAAATCATGGAGTATCGTGATCTGTTAGCAATTTGTTATTTTCCTCTCAATGTAGACTCAAGTAAATTAATTATGGACATTTACGCATACATATGTACGTTAAATAAATTGCAATGATTTTTAATGATAAGATCACTTATTTCGCAATATTTATTAATACTTCTATATCATTTCTTTAAATAAAATTTTAAATGTACACGTCTATTATTTATAATAACTCAAATTTTCTTGACTTATTATTTGCGATATCAAATAGATAAAATAAATTATAAAATTGTGACGGAAAAGGTGTGCGTTTATTAGATTTGATTTCTAAATTCGACCTACTTGTTGGTGATCTCTATCAAGCATAGGCGAACGATAAGGCTCTCTTAACTCCCTGCAGAAGCGATATGCAGGACAAAGGGGCAGTTTAGATTGTGAATGTGTTGACGAAGGGGTGTGACTCATGTGCACAACCTCTTGCTTCGATGGAATCGTGATGGGAAGAGGAATAAGTTTTGCGATATCTTTCACGTCGCTTACTGTTTCCATCGTGTTTAATTTAAACAAAATGAATTCAGTCTAATTTGAAATAATGAATAATAACGGCGTAATGATAATTCCGACGACTTCCAATAATGTTGAGCCATTTTCATTTATATCGCCATGTCACTTGTCATTTCATATCATTTTATATCTTTTTTGGTTATTTTGATACTAACGTGACTCGAAACTTAAAGATTAAAGGTTGATGTTAATGGAAGATACTTCATGATGTAGCCTAAAGCGTTTATTCACGTTTATTTAATAACCTAATTTCAGCTTGTCAAAATTTTTTGTGAACGATGGCTGATTTCTCCAGAACCTCAGCCGCTGTGGCAAATACTAATATAGATAGAACTGTAAGTGAAATTAATACTAGTAAAAAAAGTTATTGGAGGCAAATGCTGAAAAGCTACGAGAAGAGGAACGCTTCGTTGGAGAGAAAGCGTAACGAACTCGTCGAAAGAGTCCGTTTTATGGAATGTACATTGCCATCCTTGCTGATGGGCGTCGCTGCATCTACCGCCTACGGCAAACGAGGAATCCCCGATAAACAGGCGAAAATTCCAGAGAACACATCCAAATCCTCTAATCAAAGGACATAGCTGCAAATCGTAACAAGTAACAGCACCCAATAAAATCTGCCAAAAACAGATTTTGTAAAATATTCCGCTCTAATCTATATCTTTTGTCGATAGATATATGATAAAATATGATTAATTGACTATATAAACCGAATAGGATGTTCTGTTTTGTAACTATTCAAAATTAAATTATTAATATTATTCAAATAAAATGATATATTATTTGAATAATAAATATAAGATTTGCTTTAACTTATTCATTCTAGAAATTAGCAATTTATAATAATAAGAAAGAAAGACGGAGAACAGATGGGCAGTTTTATTCATTTCTTATAGATACACACACATTACGAATAAAATCAATTCTATATATGAAATGAATCTGTAAGCAAACAGCGCCATAGTGGTCAAATAGGCTTGATCGAATAATTTTTGCTCCGAAAATCTATACTGCATAAATATGGTAAGTGTTTGTATATGCACACTTTTGCGAAAAATACTAAATCTATCAAATCACTCAAGATTGATATATATAATGCTAAGGCACGTTCGGTGTGTTATACGATCGAACGAAAAGTAGGACTAGAAACACATTCTTTACACACTAACTATACGCATATCAATGAACATTAAATGTTAAAGCATACGTACGCACATACATGTATATATTTTTCCAAAAGAATATTTTTTCATAAAGCCACACGCAAGCCTAGCTTAGTTTCAATAAGATTCATGAAATGATATTCTACAGTGAAGGTAGCAATTATCTCAATTTAATTCAGTATATAATTCTATTATATACTTTATCGCGTAAAATTGCCGTGCAAAAGTTTAACATGAAAAGCTAAAAGAAAAAGATATCGGAGTAAAGTGAATCATTGAGGAATTTATATATTCCTCTTATGATACATATATATTACTTTCCTACAATTACTTTTTCTAACGACTCCTCACACAGTGTATAATGATGGAAATTATAATAGAATCTCCAATAGTCGTTGATATAGACATTATAGAATCTCAACGGCACTACACAGACATGCCTTTGTGGATCATTGAATGCATGGTATCACGAATCGCGCGATAATTTGCGACACACATGTGATGTGTGATATCAAATTAGCTTACGCACGCACAATTGCATTTTTGTTATATCAAATTTAAATTTATGTCGAAACGTGGATTTAAATTTCGATAGAGACATACTATAAGGATTCGAAGATACATTTGATACGTCACTTGGTACAAATACACGTCTGTTTAATGCAGTCATCTTCAATCTGATTTTTTTCTGGGCGTCATTCTTTATCTCTTAAAAATGCATCAATCGCGAATATTTCGAATCATATATGAAATTATTTTGTAATAATTATTGCACTTTGTAATAATTATTACAAAACATCGTTATAATTATTTTATAATAACGCTTTATACAATTTACGCTCGCGTGTGAGGGAGATATATATAATCTACGGCTTATTTGGCACTTGATTTCACAGCTTGTACGAAAAGATTGGTCGTGACGTGGGGAAGGTGAAGTACGCCAAACCGAGGGTTCAGGTTGGCACTTGATCCGCAGGCGCCCTCGTTTTATTTCTAGGACGTACCATTTCTGATCGTCACTTGGGCACACCAAGCAGCGCCAGCCGTATTGTCCTGTAAGAAATTGTAAAAATATTTATATAAAAGAACTGTTATTTATGATTTAAAATCAATGAGGACCGACCGAAGTCAGAACACTTATAGATAAACTGACTCAAAGTTAACCGATCGCTAACGTGTCTCTATGCTATGTTTATTTTGCACGTCCTTCTTTTATTTGCATAAGTAATATCAGCTACGCAGACATAAATCGATGTCCAATTTGTAGAATGAATTGAATCTAAGTTTTGAAGTGCTTAGGAAACTGATTATGATTCACTACTTATTAAAATTACTATGAGTGTTTAGAAAAATTATCTTACCTCGTTTGTGCCGCGGGTTTTACCCACGGGTTCATTGACTCTTCCATGGAACTCGTGGGTTGATGGACAGAGTCTACGACGACGAGAGACGATGGAGAACCTCTTCTCGCATTTATCTCCAGCGAAAATAGATCACCTGCGTAAAGAACAACGGTGAAGCATGAGCTTACATCATGTACAGCATAGAAATTTTCAAATATATTACAGCAACATTGTAATCTTGTGAATTACGGTAAAATATTACAGACATTATAGAGACACAATTTCAACAACAATTTGTAGCGATATTAATGATAAAAATATTGTAAAAAATATTACTGCATGATATATTTGTTGCAATCTTACAGTGATTTCACGAATGTTTCTGTAATCTTTTCGTGCCGTACAAGTTTTAATTCTTTGGTATTAAAAACAATAATTGCCTAAATATCCAATACATAAAACGACTGTAAACGCTTAAAAGATTTTTTATGTGGCAGCCAAATCTGCTATATAGTACTGTTTTAAATATAGCGAAAAAGTAATAATAATCACTAAATATTATTAATAAAATATCGCTAAATATTAAATTTTGATGCATACTTTTGTCTTAAAATAAAGAAATTTTTACTTTAAATAAAATTAATGCTCGTTATTTTTACGAATATATGTTGCCATAGCGGTTAAGAACTAATAAGACTAATAGCACACAAAATGCATAAGCATAGCATAGCATCAAACGTTTAGAGAATGTTATGTAAACATATCAATATGGAAACTTTATGCTGGATTCAGCATAAAGTTTATTTGGTCCAGATAGTCTTATGTTATGCTACGTTATGCTTATACATTTTACTATAATTCTAATTTCTATGAGACAGATGAAGAAAATAGGAGAAGTGAAGCATAATCGTTACCATCACCAATTGGTATCAAGCGCGTAATGTATAATGTTGTGATTATACCATAGGCGGAAATTTGCTGTAAAGCTCTACTACAGTCCAAAGTAGCTAGTCGGAATTTTTTGAATATAATTCGATGAATAATCAAAATACATAAAAAGTTGTAGAGTGCACTACACTGTAATTGATAATTTTGAGAATGTAAATATAATTATTACGCGACAATTTTGAGAATATTAATATCACAAGCACAACTAAAAAAAAAAAAAAGAATTACAGCGCTACAATATTTCAGCAAGCAAAATGTTAGCACGATATCTGAGATAGCAAATTTTATCAAGAACAGATTCTGAAAAATGTCCGGAGAAAGATTAGCAAAGTATCAGATACTTTGATGAATCTGATGGATTTATTGTAATCTGAGACATTTGGTTATATTTGGCTATCATATTTGATAATTATTTTTTTTTTCATGTTTTCCAAATAAAACTGAGCTTGTCGGTCGTCTGTCTCATATACGTACGTTCAAAGACGTAAGGTAGATATGCTGTCGGTTAGCTTTCCTTCTCCTTCTCTTCCTCACCTCCTCATCCGCATTTTCTCTCCACGACCTCGGTCTTCTTTCGTTCGTCGCTATTTTCTGGAAACTGTCGCTCCGGAGAACATGCGCTTTCTTCCGCGCAATCCTCTATTGGGAGGAAGATTCCCAGCTTCTCAAAAACTACATATCAACTTAGGCAGACATCAGCTTTTAATTATAACGCGAGCACAACTTTCTTCGGTGTGAAAACGGGGAATTATAGCGAAAGTTTACTAGACGATGTTATTGAATTTTTAAGCCACGCCCGTCTTACTAGAGTTCGTTGTTAAGGATTTGATATAGCGACGGCATAAGCTAAACACAAATTTCCTGATACAAGACCAACGGATGATTTTTTCGCCCAAAGGAGACGTCGTGGACGAATCTGACATTTGTCATTTTTGCTGTTTTCGCGGACCGTATTTCGCGCTCGTTACTCCTAACTCGTCTTCGGCTAACCTTCTTTTCTATGTCGTTTTTGGTAAGATCAGTTACGGCCGGTTCTTCAGATTTACAGAGTTTCAGTCCATCTTTGTTCTCCTTCTCCTTTAGGGATACAAGCTGTAAAATATGCAATGATCGTTTATTGTTTACTTCGAATTAAAGAAGAAACATCTCCGTTACATAAAATTAAGTTATTCAAATTGATAAATAAATTTGAAAAAGAGTTAGATAGATACAACATATATTACCGTGATACTACGTCCAGCACCCAGAGTAATCTGCTTGTCGGATTTATCTTTATCTTGACATCGAGAACATTCTGTAGCCATGTAATTTCCGTATGTTTCTATGGTTTGAACAGCACGCGTGCAATTTGCATCTTTAAGTTGATTTTGTACAATTTCCAAGTCCTGTACAACTTCTGGATGTTTATTTTGTCCCATGTTTATTTGATGCATGACAGTTGTCTCTCCACTGTTAGTCTCGCTGACGGTACACTTTGCGCCGATGGTCCGCAGTTCATTTTCCAACCAGTATGTTCTCTCTGTAAGTCTGTAGTTTTCATCCAATAGCTCCTCCTCCCGTTGTTTAGACAGCCGCTTTTCTTGTTCCCGATTCTTTTCAGCTTCCTCATACATTTCAAGTCTCTCTTCGAGATCACGAACGCGCTCTTGATAGGAAGTCAGCTGGACTATCGAATCCACTGTTGACACATCAAAGCAAATCTTAGATGAATCAATCGGATGGAAGACAGGTGTTGTGATCTTAGCCGCTCGTTCCTGAATTCGAGCCCTTAATTCTTGAAGACGCTGCACTTCCTGCAGGAGTTCGCCGGACGGTGCTTCCGTTTGAGTACCGCGGCTAGTAAACTCGATGTCGTGCTCTTCTTCATACTCTTTTTCTTCTTCTTCTTCTTCCTCCTCAAAGATACCACTTTCCTGAAGGGTAAGCGGGGGCTTTCGCGGTAACACGGGTGACGTGGATTTTATAGAGTTCATTGTAGCATTCGTGTAGGGTATCACGGTTGCCACGGCACGGCTTCTCTGTTTGTTGATTGAATGATCCTGAAATATCATTGCATTGCAAGATATAAATGGAAGATACACGAATGATTGTTAGCGTACCAATAATAATTTTATGTAAGAAGTAAAAAAATTCCTTTCTAATTTTATAATAAGTAAAAATTCCCAAGTGACTAGTTATTTTATCTGTATTAATTTAAATTAAAGTTGATGCGCAATACGAGACGAAAGCTCACCTTGTTCGTATGAACAGGTTCTGGTGAAACGATACCGCTGTCCACCGTATCGGGAGTATCTTTGCGTATAGGTATTTCTTCCATTTCGAGCAATCGAAATTCCAGCAGCTCATTTTGCTCTCGTATCTCCGAAAGTTCCACCAAAAGTGCGGCTTCTCGTTCCTCAGCAGCTCGAAGCTTATCATTCAACTCACTTAATTCTTTGTCACGATCAGCACATCTCTGTGAAGTGTAAAAGCCTTTATCAAAACTTTCAGGTATGCAATATTATAAGCTAAAGATTCTTCATGTACTCCTAGGTTATAATCTATCCGTCATTATAAGTATCAATTATAATGTAAACGAAAAGAAATTGCCAAGCCTATATATTATATAGCCATTATAAGCCTATTGTATTATAATTAATCGCATTATACACCGATTATATTACAATTACAAATTTTACCTCTTGCAAGAGTGCTTTCTCCAAGTCGCAAATTTGAATTCTGGCATGCGATAGCTCGCGTTGCTCTTTAAGAAGCCTTGATTGTAGATTCTCGATCTCGATGAGAACGGCTTCATACGCTTCTCTAGTGACACCATTGCCTTGCCACTGACCATAACCCCCAGGTTGTGGCGACATCGAGGACGGAGCACTCGATAGAGCGCTGTCATCATCTTCATGATCCTCCTCGTCATCCACTTCAGCCACCGGTTCTAACTCTAGCCACTGTTTATAAAATTCCTCCTTCCTCTTCTTGTTGGATAACTGCTCCAACTTTCTCTCTCTCTCCTTAAGTAACACATAAAGATATCCGATTTTATTTTTCAAATTTAGTTTCTACTAGAATGATTGGTTTTATTAGTACGCAAATTTTTAATTTACTCAATATAATCTTTATATAATCTATCATCTTTTTCACATTAAGATATCTATACTCTTATTTGATATGTTTTTTTTTAACTTGCAGATTTAGGGTTAAAATATTTTTTTTAATTTCTTTCAAATTAATGATGTATAATAGTTTCAGTATTTTACAAGCCTTCAAAATTTATAAGAAAAATAAAAAATTATATTTTTCAAATTTTCAATTCATATTTCCTAAGAAAAATTCCATTACCTTAACTGCCTGTCTAAGTATTTCGATGACTTCCTGCTGTTCAAGCGCGAGTTCACGAAGACGCTCGACCTCGATTTCATTTATGGCTCTGTTGGATTCTATTGCGCGCATATATGACCTCACCTTAAACGATACCCCACCTTAATTCTTATTATGTCATTATACACTTTTATCGCGAGATATGAGAGATATTGTGAGAAATATGATAATAAATAATCACTTACGTATATCTCGTAGAACTCAATACAATTGAAATATTATAATAGATTTATACAGAAAAATAATTGAAGTAATTTTGCATATCAGACCCTGATGAAATTTTTTCTTATAATTTTGATATGAATTGGAACATCTTTCAGAAATACTTAGAAATATTCGGAAAGAATTTGCGTCTTCTCTCTCAGAAATATTCGGAAAGAATTTGCATCTTC